TGAACGTATTGCATGGCCATACTGTGATATGTGATTGATTGGCATACTTTGAGCGTATTGCATGGCCACACTGTGATATGTAATTGATTGGCATGCTTTGAGCGTATTGCATGGTCATACTGTGATATGTGATTGATTGGCATGCTTTGAGCGTATCGCATGGCCATACTGTGATATGTAATTGATTAGCATGCTTTGAGCGTATTGCATGGCCATACTGTGATATGTGATTGATTGGCATGCTTTGAGCGTATTGCATGGCCATACTGTGTGTGATATGTAGATTGATTAGCATGCTTTGAGCGTATTGCATGGCCATACTGTGATATGTGATTGATTGGCATGCTTTGAGCGTATTGCATGGCCATACTGTGTGTGATATGTGATTGATTGACATGCTTTGAGCATATTGCATGGCCATACTATGATATGTGATTGATTGACATGCTTTGAACGTATTGCCTGGCCATGCTGTGATATGTGATTGATTGGCATACTTTGAGCGTATTGTAGGGCCTGACTTTGTGATTGACATTGTTAGAAAGCCTGCTCTGACCTTGTGGCAGGGCCTGACCTTATGATTGATAGTGAGGCACCTGCTTTGGGCGTATTGCAGGGCCTAGTTTTGTGATTGTGATTCTATGGTGTGAGCTTTGAGTGTATTGTATGACTGATGCTAGTAAGGTGCCGCCTTGTGAGTATTGTCGGACTTAATATAGAGACTGATATCAATAGCCAACTGGTAGTGGCTGAACTTGTTGAGATTGATTGGAGTTGAATGACTTGATTTGATACATGTATGTTGACTGATTGGGTTAATAGGGTGTTTGAATTGTTAAGGTATCTAATGGTTAGAGCTTGATGCTAGGTGTGAAACGTGAAGTATAAACCATGTGACTACTGGATAAGAGGACATAGACGGTATCAGACAGTAGTGGATGTGTGGGTGCACTCCCCAGATTATTGGAATTTCATATGCATGATTTTGGGGACAAAATCCTATAAGGGGCGGGGGGGGGTGATGTAAGGACCACAATTTTCTGGACTCACAGCAATAGAGACCTAGACACTCATGGTAGTAGAGAGAAGAAAACACTCACGTCAGTAGAGAGAAGGGAGTACACACCCGACGCTAAGGGAAAAGACAGTGTCGTCAATGAATTTTGGAGGAATCGTCGTGAGTATAGAGAGGGAATGTCGTGCGCAGATGAGAGGGAATGTCGTGCATGAAATGGCAACACCGCGTGTGAACAAGGGGCATCGCTGCGAGTGCAAGAGGCAACACCGCGTGTGAATGAAGGCATCGCCATGAGCGTAAAGAGTAATGACGTGCATGACATGAGGCAATGTCATCTGTGAACTCAAGGGTCAGCACCGACTATGCATGGAAACCCAGCGCCAGATGTGTGATGAGGCGTGGCACCATCTATAAATTGAAGAGAGGAAAGAAGTTGTAACATCGTTGTTTGGTGTTACGCCACGCATGAAACTAAATATCACCGCGTGTGAAAGGCAAGGAGTAACACCGTGCATGGAGACGAAGGAGCGCTGTGTGAATAAGTGACCAACGCCGTGTGAAGATAGAGATGAGCAACGCCGTGAGCGTCATTGCCGTGAGAGCAACACCTCATGCGACAAGAGGGTAACGTCGTGCATTGACTTGGGGTAACGTCGTCTGGTGTGTCACTGAGCGTCTTGTCGTCTGGAGCATCGCCACAAGTGTGTCGCCGTCAGGAGCATCGCCACCTGGAGTAATGCCTGGGTGGTTGGTCAAGGGTGCAGCTGTCCGCGGTGTCAGTGTCGCGCCGTATTTATCAGCGCCACGTCTCACGAGTGACGTCAGCCATAGCCCTTTTCCCCAACCACCCCGTGACATCAGACACAATAGATCTCACCTACGCACATGCTTTTAAGTCGCACCCCTCTCCACCCCAACACCGTCTGCTCACCTTTCCCTTCCTCTTCTCTCGACTTTCTCTCTCTAGTGCTCAAAGGGGGAAAACCCTCTTCACTACTGTCACTACTGCTGCTGTTGCTGTTGGCTATCACGAGGAACAAGAAGGTGACCTACATGTGGAGTTTGGAGTGTCGTGAACTTCAAGTAAGTGGGTCTATCTTCTTTGCATAAAAAATAGTAGGAAATGGGTTTTGAATATAGTTAGTAGATTTATGATGGGGTGGGAAAATGTGAGTATGAATGGGTCTTGACGGGATTGGAAGCACTAGCTGCGTGCCTCAAATGTCATGTTTGTTTGAGCCATGGAAATGAACTTGTGGGTTGAGCAAATTTGTAGAATAGCTCTCTTGTAAGGCTAATTTTATATGAATGATACTTTGTATACATTTTTATCTTAGCTAATGAAGTATTGAATGATCTTGAATGTATGTTATGCTGGGAATTGAGATTTTCCAGAACTGTGACCGTTCTTATGATGCACTTTTCAATAGCCAAACGATGTCCAAACGAGCCCAAATTGGTATTGAATGAAAGATATGCATGTCTATCTTAATTGTGATTTTTAGCTCATCTCAAAATTGTGCACGGTTTAAGAAATACGCCCCTAGGTGTGAGATTGTGTCACTGTCACTCTGGCTGGGATTTTCCAGCAACTATTGCCTGTTTTGCATCAAGCTTTTGACCTAATTAAATACGTCCAAATGCTTTCAAAATGCCGCAGTTTGAAAGATTTCTGAGTAAAATTAAAGTTGCATGTTTTGAAAATTTTGAAAATCCCTGAGGTTAGTGAGGTATGACCTAAAATGTGGGGCATGTTGCTTTTGTGGGAAATTTCCAGCAACTGTCGTGAGATTTGTGTCTAGCTTTTGATCCATCAAACGATTTCCAATTGCCTTTAAACTACAGTCATTATTGTGTGAGCTTGAAATTCCATGTTTTAATTATTTTATGATTCTCCCTAGATTGGGAGCTACACCCCTAGAAGAGGGTATGTCAATGCCAAACAACACAGAGACTTTCAAAAATTTTCCTGTTAGATGGTTTTCCGCTCAACTCTAACCAAATGTATTCAAATCACCTTCATGTGAGCTTTGAATAAATCTATTTTAAAATCAGCTTCAAATCACACTAAAACCCGCCACTGCTTGACAATTGTACTCCTTTTTCCTACAAGAAGGTCCCAGTTATGGAGGTGATAAAATGTGCTCTTTTTGCTTGAATCTTTCGCTGACCCTTTATGTGACAGAGTGTTATGTGTGCGGATTGATAAACGTCAATGATATAGCATGGTCTTCCTGTAATGATTATTATATGTTAATTACAATGGAGTTTTGAGCACGATGTGATGCGACATGCAATGAGTGATGATTTGATAACTGTTAATACCCTATGATGGCTATGTGATGCATGTACCTGAATGTGACTATGGATTATGAATGCTAATCGACAAGTATAAGTGCCTTGAGATAGCCCTTGTGATGAATGCCTTATGCTAGAAAGTGGAGTGTACATGTCAATTACATAGTTCTATATGAGATATCAGACTCTAGCAATGAGACCAGTATTGTCTGCCATGGAGTATTGACTGAATGTGAGTAAAGAATGATACTCGAATGTTTTTTCATGATACTGTTATACTAACAACTATGTAATGGGCCACCCATTCGTAGTGGATATTGATATGTTCTGCCGATATGATTGCCGTTATAAGAAGTCACTGGCATGCCTTGGGCGTATTGCATGGCTAGGAGTGAGATTGAGGGTGCCTGTTTTGAGAGTATTGTAGGGCCTACTTTTGTGATTGTGATTGATAAGGTGCCTTCTTTGAGTGTATCGTAGGACCTGACTATTGTGATTGATAAGGTGCCTACTTTGAGCGTTTCGTAGGACCTGACTATTGTGATCTATACCGGTTAGGTGCGTGCTTTGAGCATATTGCTTGACCTGACCCAGTGATTGTTATAGATTGCTTTGTGATCGATACCAGTTAGTTGCATGCTTTGAGTGTATTGCATTACCTGACCCAGTGATTGTTACAGACTGCTTATGTGATTGATATCGGCTAGGTGCGTGCTTTGAGCGTATTGCATGACCTAACCAAGTGCTTACTGTGGAATGAAATGTGCTCAGTGATAAAGTAAGAACGAGTTATATTATGATAAGAACGTACATTGTGAAACGTGTCCGATTATGGATAAATGAATGATATCATGAAGTGCATGATTTTATGTTTCATGATAGTGTTCGTTGATGGAAGGCTTTCTGAATTGCTACTTCTTATGATACTTATTGTCTACATGGCAAATTTGAATAATGAATATTGTATGGAATGGATGAGAATTCTGATACTTGAAATAATGATCATGATAGAAATACCAAGCAGATTTCTGATCTATGTGATGTTTATACTATCATAGTTTATAAAGTGCGTAATGCAGTTTGTGATACCTGAATGTATTCATTGATAATGCTTAGTATCTAGACTTACTTACTGGGCTGTATAGCTCATTCTATCATTTTTACCATCTCTACAAGGCAATAGTCACAGGTGGAAGAAGTTTGGCCTATTGGAAGCTGTTGACGTATGGAACTCGAAGCCGTCGAGGATAACTTTGTCTCATTGTGGGTTTTATGGGCACCTTGGCCCTGATTAGTGTTTATTGTGCATTGTGTGTACTATCGGGCCCTGATGCCTAAACTGATATGTCATGATTTTGATAAATGATATATAGTGGATTTTTGGAGTATGGTTTTTGGCTTTTGCATTCAGAGTTGATGTTTTAGTTTTTCCATGGTTTACTTTGTTTACCGCATTATTAAAGCGTTGAGCCACTCCGACCTGAGTGGCATTCGCTACCTCCACTTCACGAACCCGCTCTCAGTCGCCCTCCGGCGATTACGGTAAGGGGGACAGGGATGGGGTCGTGACAGTATGGTATCAGAGCAGCCAGGATAGGTTCCTTGGCTTGGGGAGTTTAGGATTATCTTTAGAGTAGTTTTAGGGTAGAGTAGTGGGTGGATAGAATAGTAATTGGGTGTTACTATGACTAGGTTGAAGATGTCAAGAGCTCGTGGCTACTACGGGAGTACCAGTAACTATGACACTGAAGCCCTCGACAAATTTTGTAGGACGCTGAGAGCCATGACCCAAATCATGAAAGAGTCAGAGTCGGCCCTATCTACCCCTGCCCCAGAGCAGAGTGATGGTAATCTGAAAGAGAAGTTTAAGACGTTGGCACCCCCAATTTTCTCAGGGCAAGGAAATGTAGAGAAAGTAGAGAGATGGCTAATGCAAGTGGAAAAGTTCTTTGGAGTTTTGCAGTGCTCAGATGAGCAAAAATTGAGACTGGGTACCTTCATATTAGAAGGGGACGCCGAATATTGGTGGCATTCGATCCAGCAGGCCTGGGAGGAGGAAGAGATAGAACTTACTTGGGAAGGATTTCTAGAGGCCTTCAACGAAAAGTACTTCCCTGAGTCGATAAAGGAAAGGAAAGAAGTTGAATTCATAGAGTTACAACAAGGGAATTTGACCATTGATCAGTATGTGGTAAAATTTTATGAATTATTTCGATACGCACTGCATATCATCAACACGGAGGCTAGAAAGGCAAGCAAGTTTGAGAGAGGCTTGCCGCCTGATATGAGAGGAAGAGTTTTGTTGGTCAATCTTAAGGCCTTCTCTCAACTGGTGGATTTGGCTAGGAAAGTGAAAAGAGAATGTGATGAATATTGACTGAGGAAAGAGAAGCGAAGGATAGGGCCTTCGCCCTCTGGGGGTCAATGAGAAAAAGAAAGTCGGAGGAATAACAAGACCCAAAAGACCTCCCAGGATGACGTCAAGCAGAGCCAGCTCATGCATTGTGCCTCTTATGGAAAGCAAGGCCATGTGGCCTCCGAGTGCTGGTTAAAGACAAAAGCATGTTACAAATGTGGCAAGTCGTCCCACCTGATTATAGACTGCCCGACATTGAAGAACGAGCCCAAACCCAAGACTCAGAATCGGGTCTTTGCACTCGATAGGGAAGGAGTTAAGACCTCCACTTCAAAGAAGTAGAAGTGTGTTTTGATTGTATTGTGAAATCAAAAATTTTGTTGGACCTTGGTTCCTTCCACTGTTATTGTAACACCTAATAGAATTTGAACCTTATTTGCCTGACTGTATTTAAATTGTGTGCAACTATTTGGAAATCCTTTTTGTATGATGATTGTGTGGAACTTTGATTGAGGGGTATGCCCTACCCCTTCTAGTTGAGAACTATTATGTGCCATGTGATTGAAGTGATCAGGGTTTATGTTTTGACCTATGTGGTCAATCTCTCGATGAGTGAAATGTAATATATGAATCATGGTATGAATGTAGAGAGTGGTACACTGTTTCTTGGGCATGCCTTGAGCGTATTACATGACCCTAGTTGTGTTAATGTGGTGCTTGCTTTAAGCGTATTGCAGGGCCTGACTTTGTGATTGTATTGATGTGCCTACTTTGAGCGGATTGTAGGGTCTGACTCTGTCATCCTATGGTGCATGCGTTGAGCGTATTCCATGGCCGTGATTGATACTGAAAGGGTGCCTACTTTGAGCGTATTGTAGGACTCGATTGTTGCAATTGTGATGAGGTACCTGCTTTGAGCGTATTGCATGACCTGATATTGTGATTGTACTAAAGTGCCTACTTTGAGCATATTGTAGGGCCTGACCATGTGAGTTCGTGGTGCATGCTTTGAGAGTATTGCATGGTCATACTGTGATATGTGATTGATTAGCATGTTTTGAGTGTATTGCATAGCCATACTGTGATATGTGATTGATTGGCATGCTTTGAGCGTATTACATGGCCATAATGTGATGTGATTGATTGGTATGCTTTGAGCGTATTGCATGATCATACTGTGATATGTGATTGATTGGCATGCTTTGAGTGTATTGCATTGCCATAATGTGATATGTGATTGATTGACATGCTTTGAGCATATTGCATGGCCATAATGTGATATGTGATTGGTTGGCAAGCTTTAAGCGTATTGCATGGCCATACTGTGACATGTGATTGATTGGCATGCTTTGAGCGTATTGCATGGCCATTCTATGATATGTGATTGATTAGCATACTTTGAGCGTACTGTAGGGCCCGACTTTGTGACTGACATTGATGGAAATCCTACGCTGAGCTTGTGGCAGAGCCTAACCTTATGATTGATAGTAGTGAGGCGGCTTCTTTGGGTGTATTGCAAGGCCTAGTTTTGTGACTCTGATTCTGTGGTGTGTGTTTTGAGTGTATTGTATGATCGATACTTGTAAGGTGCCGCCTTGTGAGTATTACCGGACCTTATTTAGAGACTCATAGCAATAGCCAGCTGGTAGTGGCTAAACTGATTGAGATTGATTGGAGCTGAATGGCTTGATTTGATTTGTGAATGTTGACTGATTGGGTTAATAGGGTGTCTGAATTGCTAAGGTATCTAATTGTTAGAGCTTGACACTATGTGTGAAATGTGAAGTATAAACCATGTGATTACTGGAGATGGGGACATAGACGGTTGTATGAGACAGTAGTGGATGTGTGGGTGCACTCCCCAGATTATTGGAATTTCATATGTATGATTTTGGGCACAAAATCCTTTTTAAAGAGGCGATGATGTAAGGACTACAATTTTCTGGACTCATAGCACTTACGGCAAAAGAGACTTAGACACTCACGGCGGTACAGAGAAGAAAACACTCACAGCAGTAGAGAGAAGGGAGTACACGCCCAACGCTAAGGGAAAAGACTTAGTGCCGTCTGTGAATTTTAGAGGTATCGCCATGAGTATAGAGAGGGAACATTGTGCGTAGATGAGAGGGAATGTCGTGCGTGAAATGGTAACGCTGCGTGCAAACAAGGGGCTTCCCCGTGAGCGTAAGAGGCAATACCATGCGCAAATGGAGGCATCGCCGCGAGCGTAAAGAGTAACGTTGTGCATGACATGAGGCAGCGCCGTCAGTGAACTCAAAGACTAGTGCCAACTGTGCATGGAGACCCAGCGCTGGTTGTACGATGAGGCATGGCACCGTCTATAATTTAAAGAGAGAGAAGAAGTTGTAGCATCGCCGTTTGGTACAACGCCTCGCAGGAAACGGAGTATCGCCATGCATGAAAGTTGGAAGGAGTAACGCCAAGCGTGGAGATGAAGGAGCGCCGCGTGAATAAGTGACCAACGTCGTGTGAAGACAAAGATGAGCAACGATGCAAGCATCATTGTCGTGAGAGCAATGCCGTGTGCGATAAGAGGGTAATGTCGTGCATCGACTTGGGGTGTTGCCGTCTGGTGCGTCGCCGAGTGTCTTGCCATCTGGAGCATCTCCTCAAGTGTGTCGCCAGAGATGAGCAACGTAGCAAAGCATCATCGCCATGAGAGCAATGCCGCGTGCGACAAGAGGGTAACGTCGCGCATCGAATTGGGGTATCGCCATCTGGTGCGTTGTCGAGTGTCTTGCCATCTGGAGCATCGCCACAAGTGTGTCGTCGCCAGGAGCGTCGCCGCCTGGAGTAATGTCGTGCGCTGTTGGTCAAGGGTGCAGCTGTTCGCGGTGTTAGCACTGCGTCGTATTTGTCAACGCCTCTTCGCGCAAGTGACCCCAGCCACAACCTGTTTTCCCAACCACCCGCGACGTCAGCCACAGTATATCTCACCTACCCACAGGCTTTTAAGTCGTGTCCCTCTCCACCTCAACACCATCTGCTCACCTTTCCCTTCCTCTTCTCTCGACTTTCTCTCTCTAGTGCTCAAGGGGGGACCCTCTTCACTACCGTCGTCGATGCTGCTGTTGTTGTTGGCTGTCATGAGGAGCAAGAAGGTGACCTGGGTGTAGAGTTTGGAGCACCATGAGCTTCAGGTAAGGGGGTCTAGCTTCTTTCCATCAACAATGGTAGGAAATGGGTTTTGAATATTGTTGGTAGATTTATGATAGGGTGAAAAAATGTGAGTATGAATGGGTCCTGATGGGATTGGAAGCACTAGCTGCGTGCCTCAAATATCATGTTTGTTTGAACCATGGAAAGGAACTTGTGGATTGAGAAAATTTGTAGAATAGCTCTCTTGTAAGGCTAGTTCCATATGAATGCGATTTTGTATGAAGTTTTATCTTAGTTAATGAAGTATTGAATGATCTTGAGTATATTTTAAGCTGGGTATTGAGATTTTTCAGAACTGTGATTGTTCTTGCGTTGCACTTTTTAGTGGCCAAACGATGTCCAAACTAGCGCAAATTGGTCTTGAATGAAATATATGCATGTCTATCTTAATTGTTCTCTTTACCTCACCTTGAAATTATGCACGGTTTAAGAAATACACCCCTAGGTGTGAGCTTTTGTCATTGTCACTATGCCTGGAATTTTTCAGCAACTGTTGCCTGTATTGCATCGATCTTTTGACCCACTTAACGGCATCCAAATGTTTTCAAAATTCCATTGTTTGAAATATTTCTGAGTAAAATTAAAGTCGTATGTTTTGAGAATTTCGAAAATCCCCGAGGTTAGTGAGGTATGCAACAAAATGTGGGGCATGTTGCTGTTGGGGCATGTTGCTGTTGCGGGACATTTCCAGCAACTGTCGTGAGACTTATGTCAAGCTTATGATCCATCAAACGATTTCCAAATGCGTTTAAGCTACTGTCATTTCGACGATTACTGTGTGAGCTTGAAATTCTATGTTTTAATTATTTTATGATTCTCTCTAGATTGGGAGTTACGCCTCGAGAAGAGGGGTATGTGTTGCCACACAACATAGAGACTTTCAAAATTTTTGCCTTTTACATGGTTTTGCGCTCATCTCTGACCAAATATATTCAAATCACCTTCATGTGAGCTTGAATAAATCTATTTTAAAATCGGCTTCAAATCACACTAAAACCCGCCACTGCTCAATAATTGTACTCCTTTTCCCTACAAGAAGGTCCCAGTTATGGAGGTGATAAAATATGCTCTTTTTGCTTGAATCTTTTACTGACCCATTATGTAACAGAGTGTTATGCATGCGAATTGATAAACGTCAATGATATAGGATGGTCTTCCTGTAATGATTGTCATATGTTAATTACCATGGAGTTGAGAGCACGATGCGATGCGACATGCAATGAGTGATGATTTGATAACTGTTAATACCTTATGATGGCTATGTGATGCATGTACCTGAATGTGACTATGGATTATGAATGTTAATCGACAAGTATAAGTGCCCTGAGATAGCCCTTGTGATGAATGCCTTATGTTAGAAAGTAGAGTGTACATGTCAGTTACATAGTTCTGTACGAGATATCTGGCTTTAGCAATGAGATTAACATTGTCTACCATGGAGTATTGACTGAATGTGAGTAAAGAATGATACTTGAATGTTTTGTTCTGATACTGCTATACTGACCACTATGCAATGGGTCACCCATTGGTAGTGGCTATTGACTTGTTCTGATACTGTTATACTGATCGCTACGCAATGGGCTACCCATTAGTAATGGGACTGATATGATTGGCACTATAAGAAGTCACTGGCATGCCTTGTGTGTATTGCATGGCTAAGAGTGAGATTGAGGGTGCCTGTTTTGAGAGTATTGCAGAGCCTACTTTTGTGATTGTGATTGATAAGGTACCTTCTTTGAGCGTATCATAAGACCTAACTATTGTGCTTGATAAGGTGCCTACTTTGAGTGTATCATAGGACCTGACTATTGTGATCGATATCGGTTAAGTGCGTGCTTTGAGCATATTGCATGACTTGACCCAGTAATTGTTACAGATTGCTTATGTGATCAATACTGGTTAGGTACGTACTTTGAGTGTATTGCATGACCAGACACAGTGATTGTTACAGACTGCTTATGTGATTGATACCAGTTAGGTGTGTGCTTTGAGCGTATTGCATGACCTGACCAAGTGCTTACTGTGGAATGAATTGTGCTCAATGATAAAGTAAGAACGAGTTCTATTATGATAAGAACGTACATTGTGAAACGTGTCCAGTTATAGATAAATGAATGATATCTTGATGTGCGTGACTGTATGTTTCATGATAGTGTTCATTGATGGAAGGCTTTCTGAATTGCTACTTCTTATGATACTTATTATCTGCACGACGAATTTTAATAATGACTATTTCTATGGACTAGATGAGAATTTTGATACTTGAAATAATGATCATGATAGAAACACCTAGGAGATTTCTTATCTATGTGATGTTTATACTATCATAGTTTATAAAGTGAGTAATGCAGTTTGTGATACCTGGATGTATTCATTGATAATGCTTAGTATCTAGACTTACTTACTGGGTTGTATAGCTCATTCTATCATTTTTACCATCTCTACAAGGCAATAGTCACAGGTGGAAGAAGTTTGGCCTAGTGGAAGTTGCTGGCATTTGGAACTCAAAGCCGTCGAAGATAACTCTTTCTCATTGTGGGTTTTATTGTCACTTTGACCCTAATTAGTGTTTACTGTGGGTTGTGTGTACTATCGGACCCTAGTGCCTCGAAATGATATGCAATGATTTTGATAAATGATATATAATGGATTTTGCTTCTGCATTCAGAGTTGATGTTTTAGTTTTTCCATTTTACCGCATTATTAAAGCGTTGAGTCACTCTGACCTAAGTGGCATTCGCTACCTCCGATTCACGGACCCACTCTTGGCTTCCCTCCGGCGATTACGGTAAACGGGACGGGGATGGGGTCGTGACACTTACACTAGGAATATCTTTTAGATCCCAAATTTTGGGGATGTGATCTCTAGAACCCAATAACCAACCTAATAAAAAAAAAAAACCTCACTCTCAATGTGCCAAGAAAAAATGACATCTCAAGATTGTATTGGAACTATCTTAATTTTTGGAGGGAATGATGGATCATGAGATTCAAATTATATATATATATATATATGGAAAAGATCATGTCAGCCCAATGGCGTACTGCTACAGTAAACGCCAATGGCCCAGATTGAATATGGGCCAATATGATGATTACATATGTCCAGTAGTATTTTAATTTCAATTTTTTTCTAAAAATCAGAATGATCTAAAATTTGAACCATGTGTACATAAAAAAATAGGTGAATCTTCAAAAAATATAAAAAAGATATTTGACATGAAAAATTTGATCAAAATACCCCTGTAAAATTTTGCGGGTATTTCGATCAATTTATGTTGTGCAGATTATTTGTTTTATATTTTTATTAGGTGAGCCTTGATGAGAAGAACATACATCTAAAATTTCAATTGATTTGGATTTATAGAAAGAAAATTAAAATTCAAACACGAAAAGAAATCGT